TTCATACTCGATTTATTTGCCAAAATTATTATATTAATAAATAAATATTATTTTATTAAATATTATTTATAATTATTGACGCAACTCATTATAAAGTTTAGGTTTCAAAAAAGGAAAGAAAAGGATAGAAAATGGCTACAGTAAGAAATTAAAGTAGTATCATAATTAGTGCCAAAAAAAAAAAAAAATTTATTATAGCTTTATTTTATAATATTTTATGATATTACGTCATTATTATGTATTTATTTATTTTGGCAGTTTTTTTTTATTGATCTCAAAAATCTTTTGACAATTCATTTTTTTATTTATTTATTTTTTTTTTTCGTCGTCGTCGTCGTCGTTAATAAATTAATGTAAAATTAATTAATAAGAAAAGAAAATTTTGAAGTCACACACTCATGATCTGATTAACAAATAAATAATTTATTTATTTTTATTAATAATATGAAAAACAAAAATTTTATATAAATAATTCTAATATAATGTATTAATAATAATAATAATAATAATATTATAAATATTTTTCATTGTAGTTTTTTCGCATGAAATTTCTTATTATTGTTGTTGACAAAAAAAAAAAAAATTCTTTCGTTCGAAACCTTTTTACCTATATATATATATTAAATAATTGTTATTAATATTTTATTTTTTTTTTCCCCTATTGTCGTCCATATTGTTAATTTAAATATTAAAATAAATTTTATTAAAATAAAATAAATGTTTATGTACAAAATTTAATATAAAAAAAAATTTTTCTTCGTGTTGTTGTTATTTAATGAGAGAGAGAGAAAGAGAAAAAATTTTTTTTTCTTTATAAAATTATTAAAAATATCATTATTATTAATTATTTTATATGTGAATACATAAAAAATATATATGAAATTATATTCTAAATTTATTAAATAAAATTTAATTAATTAATAAAAAATTATTTTTTAATAAATAGCTTTACATTTTTTTTTTCTATACAAAAAACTTGCATTTGTTGTTGTAATTAAATAAACAAATTTTTTTCTTTCTTATTTTTTAATAAAAATTATTATTATTATTATTATTAATTATTAAATTTATTTGTTATTAACAAAAAAAATTATTTTAATAATTAAAAAAAAAAAATTAGTTTTGTTAAATATGAGAAAATAAAATTTTCTACAACAGAAACAGCAACAAAAACGTCATTATTATCATTATTT